AAAACATTGCATTTACACATTCAGATCTTACAAAATAAATTATAGCAACATCGAAGAAAGGCCTAAAACTTGGGCCTAACAAAGATCAACTTAATTTTATTGAGGAGTAAGCCGAAACTATAACTGAAAGGCCCAAGTATAAAGAGGCCCATTGGTAAAGTAAGCCAGAACTATACGTGAGGCCCAAGTACATAGACGAAAATTCCGTTACCCGCTCGCCGCCTACCTCGTCCGGCTCGCCGTCCGCCACAATCGGATCTAACGTCATCACAGTCGGCGCCTTCCGTCGGGCCGCACCCAGCAGGCAGCCACTTTCCTCGTAGCCCTCTCCTCCACCTCCGCCCGACCGACGGCTACTCTGTGCGGATTATTGTAGACAACGAAGGTAAACAGTAAAGAAATTTGAAGCATAAACTATGTCACAATGATTTGATTTCATAATTTATAGTTGAGATTTCTATACATTTTTCAAATAGTTTGTTTGTTTTTTTTTTTTAAATTGTTAATTAATAATTAGTCGTTTCTTGATATGTGGATTTTGTTGGAGCATGACAAATCATGTATGTTCACATGTTCTTTTACAGCTTTAAGATGATATGTGGATTTTATTGCTTTGGTGGGATTCTGATAAAGGTGATTAATTTGGATGTTGATCATGTTGGGTATGCTGTGATTTGGATTTGGAGTTTATTTTATTTTCGTAACCTGAGGGCTGCTTCTTTATTTACTGCTGTTTTTTCTGTCCTTAGTTGTTTTTCCTTTCTTTGTATGCTGTGAAAATATCACCCATCAATGTGTTGAATTTTGGACTTTTTCCTTTATTAGTGAAGAATAAAGGGGCATCTGTTCTGTTAGGCATCTGATTCTATCCAAGTGATTAATTTATCAGTTTTTCGGTACAAAACCGACACCGAACCGACTAGTGGTCGGTAACCGAAAACTCGCAATTGAACTGATGCTTGAGTGTTTTCAGGAGAGTAACTTGACAGATCTTGGCGGTAAGATAAACTCGGTTACCGACCACTAGTCGGTTCGGTTTCGGTTTTGCATTTAGTGTTACCGAAATTTTCGGTTCGGTATCGGTTTTTGCATATTGGTTCGGTTACCGAACCGATACCAGCCCTAGAAATGATGGCAGTCTAATTCTTCAAAGTGCTTATTTTATTTTATAAATTGTAATTTTCCTTTTTAATAAAACAAAAAATGTTGGAATATTATCTTTTGTAAGCATGAAAAGTTCTCTATTAGATTTTATTTTTTTTTTAGCTTTGTCGAGAGGTTGTAATATTCTGTAAATTGTATTTTTTTTCTTATAAAAAGAATGTTGATCGTTGTTGGTATTATTTTATTTCTTGAGAAAAAAAAAAATAATTAGGGCATTATTTTTATATTTGGAGCAGGGCCTAATATTTTTCAAGACCGGCTCTGATTGTATTAGCAGACTTTGTGTGTGCATTTGTATCTCCCTATGTGTATTGACTTTTTTCAATGTGTTTGGTAGGTAGGGTTTTTTCACTCATAATATGCCTCAGCCTGGTCTCAAGCCATGCCGTAAAATCTTCTTCGGGAATGACTCTATTCGGCCTTGCGAACAAATCCGGTGGATGACCTCCAGCAAAAGGGTTCAAGACCGAAGCAAGAACAAACGCGTGCACGACCTAGAAATCGTGACCGAAAAACACAAGATGGTTATGAAGATCCTACACTTGTTCGAGATTCTCAAATCCGAGCCTGAAAACATTATCCCCTTGAGAAATCTCGACCAACACCGCAGGCAAATCAACCTCCCCAAGCCCCACAAGATCTCGGATTTCCTCCGGAAGTCTCCCAAGCTTTTCGAACTGTATAAAGACACGAGGGGCGTGGTTTGGTGTGGCATGACCGAAAAAGCAGAGGACTTGGTGAAGGAGGAGGAAGAACTAATCGAGAAAAATGGTGAAAAGGCTGCTGAATACGTGACTCGGATGTTAATGATGTCAGCAGATAAGCGGCTTGCGCTCGATAAGATTGCGCATTTTAGGCGGGATTTTGGGCTGCCGATAGATTTTAGAAAATATTGGGTTCATAACTATCCGGAAAACTTTAGGGTCGTGCAGCCGTTTAAGCCTCATGACGATAGTGAGTATTTGGAGCTTGTCACGTGGAGGCCTGATTGGGCCGTGACAGAATTGGAAAGGACGGTTTTACCCATCAAGGAAGGGTTGAGTTTCGATGAACATGAACCCGGATGGCTTTCATTGGCTTTCCCGTTGAAATTCCCCTCAAGTTACAAGAAAATGTATAGATACAGCGGGAAAATCGAGCATTTTCAAAAAAGGCAGTATTTATCCCCATATGCCGATGCGAGTGGCTTGCAAGCCGGGTCCCTCGAGTTTGATAAACGGGCTGTGGCCGTGATGCACGAGCTGCTGAGCTTTACTCTCGAGAAAAGATTAGTGACTGATTATTTGACGCATTTTAGACGTGAGTTTACCATGCCACAGAAGCTGATGAGGCTTCTGCTGAAGCACCTCGGGATTTTCTATGTCTCTGAAAGGGGAAAGAGATTTAGCGTGTTCTTGAACGAGGCTTATGATGGTTCGGAGTTGATTAAGAAGGATCCGTTGGTCGTTTGGAGGGAGAAGGTTCTGAGATTTGTTGGTCACAGGGGAAAGAATAAGAAGAAAATTGGGTCTTTTGAGGATTTTGCAGACGAGGAGAATAATGAGGCTCTGCTCGGAAGTGATTGTGAAGAAGAAGACCAGTTGCAGATCGAACCCTTGGAGAATGACAGGTTGAGTTGTTTAGAGGATGATGATTCTGAAATGGAAATTGAAGAAGTTTGCAGGGCTTACAATGACTGAGTTAACCACAAGGTCTCGATATTTTCTTCTCGTATGTAGAAAAGTGTATACGTTGATATCAAAAATTTAATCTGATTAACACATGCATTTATTCTGTCTGAAGATCAAAAATTTGAAAACATGATTGTTTCTGATTTTAGTACTTTGGTCTCGGGTTAGGCAGCCGATTGCGTTTACTGAGGCGTGATCGAGATATCTCAGTTACCGAACTATTTAGAGGTTTCGTAGAGTGGGCAGGCAAATGTATATTGGAGGAACGATTTGTAGTGTATTCTCTTCAAAATCTTTCTTGTATGATTATGTGGGAAAGCTTTTGGATCTACATTTTGTATCTATATAATTGATTACACATGATTGTTAGACATGTTTTAGATCTGAAAAATTAAACAAATTAATGAGTTTGAAGATAAATGATCATATATGAGATCTGTTTCCACTTTTCATTTTATCATCAATCAAGTGCAGAATTGGGGTCCATAATTGGGAGTCTAGCAAAGAATTGGGGTCCATAATTGGGAGTCTAGCAATTTTGATCTTAAGAAATATCAATGATACAAATTCTTGTGTGAGACGCGTTAACTGTTGAGACGTGTTAATTGTTGGACGGTTTGCTTCGTCATAACTTTTTTCTTAATGAAAATGCATATTCATGCTATGGAATATTATATTTGTATTTATATATTTTTTTTTAAAGTATGAATTCTAATTTGAACACTAGCACGGATCAAAGATGTTACATACATTTTATTTATTTTTTTTACCATATGGGTTGTCTATTTAAGCTCCATAAACAATAGGATTGGTCATCCATTTTTCACCTCTTTTAATCAGGATTGATCATCCATTTTCTATCTCTGTGAATCAGGATTGATCATCCATTTTCTATCTCTGTTAATCAGTATTTTAATTTTAGCCAGAACGTTAAGCCTGAGCCTATAAGGCTTATCCTGTAAGTTAATTAATATATTATCTTGCTAACACGTTTATACTAACACAAGTTTGATTTTAGTATATATATTTCTTTTTATATAAGAAAAAAACAACAATTTTACTTATTCTTCTTCATCGTGTGATACTAAATTATTATTTTATTATAAAATTCTTGTCATAAATTTTTTTTTTTCATAATAATTAAACAACTTCGATTTAGCAATTGCCAAAAAATTAACCTATGCTATAATTGAGAGATCCTAAGGCTTTATAGTTATTATCATACTATGCAATGTAAACATATTTCGCAATATTTTCATCATGGAAAGAAATCAAAATAATAAACGACAAAAAAAGTTTAATCATGTTGAAAATAATATATTAAATAGATCACACGGTTAAATTCTAAAAAATAGTTAATATATTTTAATTTTACTATTTAACCATTAGTGAAACTATTTAGTGTATTTGGTCATTATCTCTTAAAGGTAAATTATATTATATTAAAGATTTTATTTTTTATAATTAAATAAAGTTTGAGAAAATAGTTTATTGACAAAGATTAATTCAGATGAAATTATTTTCAACATGATTAAACTTTTTATTGACAAAGTTTATCTTGTCCAAAGTTTAATCAACATGAATCACGAAAAATCAATATGTGGTTTATTATAATGGATATCAATGAAATTATTGAGATGTTAATAAATTTATCAGTGTTCTAGAAGTCGTTAGGCGCTCGACCAACGTCTAGGCGTGGCCCAGAAATAAATATTAAATACCTTAGTTTTTATTTACTTTTACTACCAACAAAATAAAATTATCCCAACTTATAATAAATCAACACACCTAAGTCCAAATAATAATATTAATATATTATAAAGAAAACATGATAGCAAAATAATGTAATTAGTATTTAAAAATAATAAAAACATTTAGAAAAAATGCCTAGGTCCACCTAGGCGCAACTAGGCACCTCTGAGCCCCCTGTAGCCTGACAAGCCCGCCTAGGAGCGCCTAGATCCGCCTAGGCACTGCCTAGCCGCATGGCCAATCTTTTTAACTGATTTATGCAAATCGGAGGCGGTCGGGCAGTGCCTAGCGAACCTGCAAAAATTCTCACACCGGAAGGGTTTTCTGGTGAAGAGACTCTAATGCTTAAATAAACACTTGTAGAAAATGAAGTGTATGAAATAATAGAGAATGTAATGTGATAATGAGCATACATTTTTCTCTTATACAGTGAGATGATATCTTGTTATCTAAGACTGCCTGAATGAGCTATCTGAACTGCTCGATTCTATTATGCCACGTGGTCCTATCTACGGGTGGCTCTTAATCCCTTAAGATTCTTTCTTATCCTTTAGCTTTTTCCATTAAACTGTCTAATTGTGTGACTAGCTCCGGGTCAACTGAGGTAGAACGTTGTCTGTTCCAAAACTCCTTTATGGTCGATTGCACGAGCAGCCATCTCTACAGGCCGAGTTTCCAACAGGCCATCCGAGGGACCTAGCTCGGCTTGTCGCTGCCTTCCTGCGCTACTAGTGCCGTCCTCGGTCTGAAGACTCCTGGTTCTACGCTAGTGTCGTTCGACTACCAACAACCTTCTTGCTATTCTGCTCGACCAGGATGGTTCCTTGGCTTGGTCGACCGGTTTATTAGGTTTATTCTTTCAAGGTCCGATATCCCATATCAGTATACATTAAATGTTCTCAAGTTCTTTTTGCTCCTATTTTTAGTAAATCTTATTTTGTATATGTATATATTTATGTATGGGGAAATTCTATTGGAAGGCCTAACTTTTAGTATATGTATTAATATAAGGCCTGAATTTTATACTTTTTCAATTGAAGACTTACATTTTATGTTATTATCACTTTAAGGCTTACTTTTTAGTTAACTTTTCATTATAAGGCCCAACTAACTTTACCTTTTCATATAAATATGTAAAACAATTATTATGTGAATAAAAGTTTTATTATTATTACTATTATTATTTTACATACCCATAATAAAAAATAATAAATATCTTTAGTAAAATTATATTAATAAAAAATAAAACTATATAAATTACAATGATAAAACATTGAAATTACAATGATGGGAAACTAAGATAGTAAAATTATATTAATAAAAAATGAAACTATATAAACATCTATTTTCAATGATGTAATTTTTTATTGTTAAACTTTTTGCATAAATATAATTTATATAGTTTGGCATCATTGTAATTTATATACTTTCAATTTTTATTAATATAATTTTACTAAAGATATTTATTGTTTTTTTATTATAATTATGTAAAATATAAATTACAAAATAACAAGGAAATAAATAGCTCGCTAAAGTTGCCGCTGTTTGAGAAATAGCTTTTTTTGGCAGCGTGCCGCTATTTGTATTCATGTGCAATTTAGCCGCTAAATCCCGCTAAATCTCCGCTATAGCTCCGCTATAGCTACAGTGCCATAAACATTTTAGCCCGCTATTTAAAACCTTGCAAAATAATAATAATAATAATAATAATAATAATAATAATAATAATAATAATAATAATAATAATAATAATAATAATAATAATGGTAATAATAATATTTGTATCCACATAATAGTTGTTTTACATATTTAAATGAAAAAGTAAAGTTAGTTTGACCTTATAATGAAAAGTTAACTAAAAAGTAAGCCTTAAAGTGAGAATAATCTAAAATGTAAGTCTTCTTTTGAAAAAGTATAAAATTCAGGCCTTAAATTAATACATATACTAAAAGTTAGACCTTCCAATGGAATTTCCCCATTTATGTATAGATATGTAAAATGTTGAAGAGGTGTATAATTGAAGTTTTCCATCGTCTCCCAAGTTTTCAATATGCAGTAGTTAATAAAGCTTTTTTTTTATTTAAATTTTATGATCAGATTCTAAATGGGCCTTTTTATATTATACTATTTTCTTTTTCTATCCAAAATGCTTGAATGTCAAACTATACGAATCATAAATAGTAAAATATATACCGTCGTAAAAGTAATATATATACAGGTAAAAAAGTCCGCAATAAAATTACTAATTGATACTCTCTCCTTTTTTAAATAAATGTCGTTTTGACTTTTTTGATTCATCCATTTTGCTATGTATCTAGATATTAATATGTCTAGATACATAGCAAAATGGATGAATAAAAAAAGTCAAAACGACATTTATTTAAAAAAAGAGGTAGTAACATATTAACATTGTTTACAGGACAAAATTGTCAAGGGCCAAACTGTTACGTCACCAAAGCAAAAGACAAAAAATTGCCAACTCCCAACTGAATTAATGCATATACGCCGATAAACAATTAATTAAAATCCAAGCATATTATTTTTCTTCTAATTATCAAGACTATTATTATATACCAACAGGGGTTGATTCAAGAGGTAAGCAGCTTGATGTCTCTTAAGCAAGGTGTTCGAGTCATTGTGGATGGAGAAAACCCTTGAAGGAGACTCACCCACCACTGTCAGGTGTGCGACTCGGATCGACCAACGGATTAGTCGGGGCATACCTCCAAATACTGTGGCTGACTAAAAAAAAACTATTATTATATATAATATGACGAGAAAGAATCTCACATGATGCTATAGAATGAAGAAATTTCCTAGTGCTACACTTAATAATCTAAGATTTTCTCGAAGGAAAGGCTATAAACAAATCAAGAGTGCCCCAATTTGAGCTCATCAAATTTTTTTCAAACATAATTGATACATGTTTTCAAATAGTTTTAAAAAAATATTATAATTATTACAATTAAGAAAAAAGTTCAAAAGGTCTATATATAATGCATGTGGATTGGTGATTCAGAGTCTCATTAATCATGATTAAAATAAAATGTAATCCTAATTAACTTTGGTCTTAGCCAAATCTTATATAGTCTTGAAACTCTCAAGATATCTTAAAAGATCTATTTTAACTCCCAAAGGCAAATCAAATCAGATCAGATACTATAGGCCTTTGATTGATGTTCAGAGTTAATAGAAATAGAAAGCACATATATATATGTATTATGTGTAAGGGATATCTTGGTATAAGTATTTTGAAATTAAATTATGCTTAATGGTGTTTAAGCATTGACTTTCATGTTAATATGTATATAATTAGGGGGAGATGCTACAGGCCCGTTACCGAACTATTCCGTCGGGATTTGTAACTATCAGATCAACTACCCGGCTACATGATGATCTAACGGTTATAAATCTCCAACGGGAATGATTCCGTAACGAGACCGTAATATTTTCCATAATTACGATATGTCCATGATGATCTAACGGTTATAAAACTCAACGTAAATTATCAAGCAAATTTGATATAACTAATACATCATCATGTTTCAACGGCCAATGCACGCGCAGAGATTTAATAAAATCTTTGTTATAGTTAAATAAAAATAATATAATATAATATTGGCCCTCTTAATTATCTTAATTTTATAATTCTATTCACGGGCACGAGCACCCGATTATACAAACGGCCGTTAATTGGCTATGACTTTTGTTAATCCTGTGAATTTTGAAATGAGACAAAAGAGGGGTTGCTTTCATATGAGTTTTGAAGAAAAATATTATATATTAATTTATTTTTTTTAATATTAGATAAATGTGATAATATATAAAATGTGTTCCTATCATGTGGAAAAGAGTGTGGAGTGGTTGTTCCAATTCAAAGGATAAGAGTGATTTTAAATGATCCTTTTTAATATCTTTATGATTTGACAAGTGTGACATAACATAAGTAAATGTTTTGATTGAAATATATATAAAGCTAGTACTTTAAATCCATGATTGAAGTTATGATATTTAACATTTTTAATTTAGTTTTTAAAAAAAACACAATATGCCTTTAGTTAGGTAGCAAGTGGTATTTATGATCCAAAAGTTTAAATAGCATATATATTGGGAAATGTTAAGGGCCCGTTACGAAATTATTTCGTCGGAATATGTAACTGCTAGATTATCATGTAATCATCATAGATAATTGATATAGCGGTTAAAAAACTCGACGGATTGGTTCCGTAACAAGACCGTAACATTTTCCTATATGTTGAGAGAGAGAAATGGAAGGCTATTGTATTCTAATTGCAATTCCAATTTAAAAATTACAACTTTTGCTGAAAAATTGTAATGAAAATTTTAATGACATTATTTTTGAATTTTGACAATTTTCAACAATATTTTTTCTGAGTGTTGAAACAACGTACATAGAAAATAATTTTAATGAAAGTTGAATATTCTGATAAAAAATTCTACAACAATAAAGTACCATTGAAAGATTTATATATTTGGAATCATTAAATTCTAGATAGAATTCCTGAAATTTAGTTCCAACATAGTAAATAGTTGTGTTCTCTATTGAAATCACTTCAAATTAATCACCTCTCTCATATTTTTACGTTAAATCAAATTTTAATTATTTTATTTTAAATATTATTTTAATATACTCACTAATAAATTAACTGTTGAGAGAAGATGACAATATGGCACACGAATTAAAAAAACAAGAAAAGTAAACAACACAAGATTTACGTGGTTCGGCAATGTGCCTACGTCCACGGCGGCTTAGGGATCTTTTATTATTCTCAATCGTATCAAATACATCAATACACCATGTATTTATACTAAAACCCTACAAGGTACTAAAACCTCCACTCCGCTCACTTCGCTCGGTCGCTCCGCTTCCCTCGCTACGTTCGCTCCGTTACGCTCGCAGGCATCAGCCTACCCTCTTCCTTTGTCAATATATGAGCCATACCAACACTAACCATACCATATTTTTCAAAATTAATTAAATCAAACAAAAAAATTCAAACACGACTAAAATTTTTTATAAACAAACATGCTCTAATATTGCAATATTTATTTATTGTAATTTATAATAATATTTTTTTAGAAAAAAAAAAGAGCTAAGGAACATTTATGACGTTTTTGGAAGAAAAGCAACGCGGGGGAAGTTTCTCATAAACTCAAATCTCGATGATAATTAATAAATATTCTTATGTAACAATAGCTATTTAGTTTCACAGAAAATCTATGGAGCCATCATATGGCTCTTTAATTTATGGAGTCATCTATAACTTCATGTACTGACATATGTCTAATATGTATTTATTGCATGACACGTGTCAATGCATCATTTGTGAATAACAATGGATGACTCCATAAGTCGAATAATCCGATAGTTCCATAGCAAAACCGTTTAATTTCAAGCCAATTTCTTAAAAATTAGCCCTAACTTCTGATTTCACATTAACGTTTGACCGAGTCATATCTTGCTATTTTATACATAAAAAAAAGGAATTAAATAGTATTAATAATTAGTTATTACTGATCATGCATGCATGGTCCATAGATAGGTTTTAATTTCAACTTATTTTGTTTGTTTTATAGTATCTTCTAATAATAACTGTAGAAGTACATCAAATTCGAAGACTAAAACGAGTTGTTTTTGTTAGGGTTCTTACTTAGGATTTAGTAGGTCAAACTTAATTTGGGTTCAACAATTCCAGTTTCACATTTATTCCCCAAAAGCATATCTACATTAATGTTCCAACCCTAAAATGATGATATATATATAAATTCGATCTGGTCCTAAAAAATATTGTGCTAATCAATAATTGGAAAATAATACTATATTATGATATGGAATATTATACTAGATCGTTTTTAATGGATAAAATGTGGGCTAAGCCACATGGTATAATGATATGAGTCAAACCCAACTTAGGCACTAAGTTATTTGGAGTTTTGGAGTGATATTGACTTAGGCATCAGAGGTCCGACGTCGAGACTCTCCCAACATTGAGTTCTTGCAGATACGGAGGTCATCCGAGTTGAAGGAGCTCGAGTGAAATTGAATTAATAATATGTGTAGTCCATTTCACCAACATTGGCGCTGTCTGTGGAACAAAATAAACATATAGTTGAAGAATTCTCGATGATCATAATTTTCCCTACTCAACATCAACATCGTAGACAAAATAAATGGGATGAGATCTATTACGAACATCAAACTAGATTATTACTTCTATAGTAAGCATATACGTTTTTTGTATTTAAATAAGTTGAGTTTAATTTGTAGGATGATATTCTCAATTAAAAAGCTCGATTTGATCTTCGATTGCTCTTCACGAAAATAACCTTATTAAAAATTTTATTTCATATGACTTAAACTTATAAGTTAAATTTACCAAACAGAACAAATAAAAAAAAATGAGGGATTATTACACCAGACGAATAATTTCAAGCTTAAAATATGTCACATATATGTCATTTTATAACATACGTACGTACGCAATTTTATTAAAACAAATATGACGGATCAACCCGACTAACAATTATCTTTCATATATAAAATTTCTTACATGACATACAATTTTTTGAATTATTAATCCCCTTTGATTCTTTTTGTGGGCCCCTTCATTTGATCTTCCTAGAACACAACACTCCTAAATACAATGCACAGAGAGTAAACTAAACACATTATTATTCTAACCTATATTTTCTTTCTTTTTCTCATACATAGACACATGCTCATATACACAATACAGCCTGTCAACCTTAATAACCTTTTCTTATAAAACCAGGAGATATTAATTTCCTTATTTTTTTTTTAAATTTAATTTTTCTCTTTCCCATAGTAGTTTATTAATAGAGATTGAGTTGTTATTTCCCCAAGGAGATTATAAGCACAGGGTTTCCCTTTTTGGTACTTTGTTCTGTATAAAATATACTAAAATGCATGCTGATGAGCTCGGTTCGGTTTTCGATTTTCTGCGGAAAAAACTAAAATGTATGCAATGAAATTGACGAAGAAACCCGACATTTGTTTCGAGGTACGGTTCGCCTTTTTTTTTTTTCATTGCACTTAACTCTGATCTTGTAGTTTGTACAATGTAGCTTACAATCACTTTTTTTTNTTTTTTTTTTTTTTTTTTTTCATTTGTCATTTAATTTTTGCTTATGGATTTTAGTTTGTTTGTTAATTTGCTCTCATTTTTTGCTATGTATTGTTCTTTAGGAACTCACATATAGCCTTTCCAATGTTCTTTAACAGTCATAATTAAAGTTGTGTTTAAGTGATTACTAATAATTACTCTAAAATCCCCTGATTTGTATAAATTTGCACACACAATGTCATCAAAAAAGAAACTAAAAAAAAAAGAAAGAAAGATCAGATCTAGTTTGCAAATTTTATTACAATTGGTCATTATTTGATACCAAATCCAATTAGTTAAAACTAAACAACACATGCTGAGAGATATTAGGAGATAGATAGTAATTAGTAGATGCCAATGATGTATTCTTTTTTTAATTAATTAACAACTTGCTTAGAAGTTAATTAGATCAGATAATAAAAGTGATTAATTGTGAGCCTTGACTTTTTTTTTTCTGCACACATCTTCAAATTACATCTTTACACTAATCTAATTATTCGGTTACGTTCGACACTTTTATTGATTGATTGATCCAAGTTACATTCGTCGATACTATAATTTTCTAAGACAAGTTTTTTTGTTTAATTTTTTTTTTTTT